CTGATGACTCGTTTTAAAATAATGAAGATCACACATCCGAGGTGGTAAATCTCCAGCAGGTTCAGCAAGAGAGACACGCAAGCCACCACAAGCATAAATATGATGAAGATGGTCTTTTCCGTGGGCCTGGAGATGAAGCAGTCCACGCTGTTGGGGCAGGGCCAGCGGTCACACTTGTACAGGGGCTTCAGCTGAAAGCCGTAGAGAAAGTACTGGCCCACGATAAATCCCACTTCAAACAAGGTCTTGAAAATGATGTTGAAGACGTAGGTGCGCAGGAGGGCCCCTCGTATTCGGATCTTGCCGTGCTCGTCGCGGATGGGCGGCTTGTCCTTTTTCCCGTTCTTGAAGATCAGCTCCTCCTGCAGCTTGCTGGCTTTCTGCAGCTCCTCCTCCTTCTCCTTGCGTTTCTCCTCCATGCGCACGATGTGCAGGACGTGGCCCAGGTAGATGAGAGTGGGGGTGGACACGAAGATGATCTGCAGCACCCAGAAGCGGATGTGAGAGATGGGGAAGGCTTTGTCATAGCACACGTTCTCACAGCCAGGTTGCTGCGTGTTGCAAGTGAAATCGGACTGTTCGTCGCCCCAGACCTCTTCCGCAGCCGCCCCCAGCACCAAGATCCTGAAGATAAAGAGCACTGTCAGCCAGACCTTGCCTATCACGGTGGAGTGTTCTTGTGCATTTTCCAACAGTCTCCCCAAAAAGCTCCAGTCACCCATTGTTTAAGACTCCTAGCCTACGGAGAAAGTACAGTCTAGAATGAATGTGGTGAAGGGGGAGAAAAAAAATAAAAGAAACAAGACAATTCTGCTGCGGCACCGAACACAGCCCCCGGCTCGCTCTTCCCCCCGCCGGGGCTGGCGCTGCTGGCGGGCGGGTCCAGCGGGCTCTCGCTGCGGGTGCTGGCGCTGGCGCTGGCGCTGCCGCTGGAGGAGGCGGGCTTCCTCTCCTGAGTCTGCTGCTCCGTCGCCAGGTTGGCCCAGTTCTGCTCGGCGGCCAGCCGGTGGTTGCTGTTGTTGATGTAGAAGGAAGGCGGCTCGTCCTGGCCCTCGGGCGGGGGCTCCATCTTGAACTCCGCCGGGGAGGCCGGGGGGAAGGCGTGGGGGCCCCCCGCCGTGACGTCGGTGTAATTAGGGGGGTAGCTGAGGCCCGGGGGGGCAGTTCTCGGCGCCGGCGCCGTGGGTCCAGGCTCCGCGCGGCTGCAGGGCGGCTCGTGGTCTGGGGGGAGCTCGTTGGTCATCCCCTGCTTGAGCTTCTTCCATCCGAGGTGGTAAATCTCCAGCAGGTTCAGCAAGAGAGACACGCAAGCCACCACAAGCATAAATATGATGAAGATGGTCTTTTC